GGGGGGGGGGGGGGGGGGGGGGGAAGTCACCACCTCGCCATGTCCCACATCACAATAGACATGGAGGGGAGAGAGGAAGGACTGCGATGGAGGGAAGAAAGAAGGAGAGAGAGAGAGCGGGAGAGAGGAAGGGGATGGAGCGACGTACTGCCAGACAGGTTGTGATGCTGGAGGAGGTATGGAGAGATGGATGGAGTAAGGAGGGCAGTTTAAAATGAAAGCGACGCCCCCCACCTGAGCCGGGTGGCTGTCCCCCTTGGCGCCCCTCCTCCTGGCACTGCTCCCCCCTCCTTGACCCCGCTGCCACTCTCCTTGTTGTGTCATCTGCCCAAATACGCAGCGCGAGGCGGATTACTGTAATTATCGTAATATCCAAGGGAGTACGGGGCGATGTCCGCGGCAACCACGATGTTACCCCAGCGACGGGGCGGGGCGTGGGGGCGGGAGCGCACCCACCAGGCGGCCTGAGCTCCGATTGGCGGGACTGACAGCCTTATTATGCAGCATGCTTATTATTGATATTACTGTGCGCCCGGTTGCCATGGCCACCGTGCGAGAGACATTTAATTTGCTCTCTTCCATCATCATTATCTATGAGGCCATCTGTTGTGGAAAATGAATTCAGCCTCATTTGCATGACTGATAAGCACATTTTTTATCTGTTTAACAGAAGGTCATATGCCATGGGTTTGGAGATGGCATGGGGGGGTGTCAGGTGGGGGAATTCGGGGTGGAGGATGCTGGCGGAGGTGAAGCTGATCCCTGTGGTTAGTTATCCTGCTACAATGGTCCCGTCACTTATTACGGGGGGGGGCTGCTAACGGCTCCCCCAGCTCGCCCGCCGTGGCCCTCATCGACCCCCCCCACGCCCACGTGGCCCTGATTCCTGTCTTGCTCTCTAGGTGGGTGTCCTTCCTTCATCGTCTTTCTGTTCTCAGACCTGGGGGGTTCCTCTGAAGGCGCGCTGTGGCAGTATAAGAGCGCGGTTGTGTTACAGTATACCCACCCCACCCCCATCTCCTGGGGGGGCGGCACCGGGCTGGCAATTAGTCAGGGGGCCTCGCGGCAGAGAGGAAGTGATGCAGGGGATGTATGTGCAGCAGAGTGTGTGTGATGATATGTGTCTGTGTGTGTGTGTGTCTGTGTGTGTCTTGCTGTCCTGCCCCCCCCCTGGAGTTCAGCATGTTCCTCATGCGTAGCTGCGTCTCCTTCACAGCGTGACAGACACACCACTCCTGTAAACGTGCGGCTCTGCCGATGATTGGTGCGTGGCAGAGGGACCGTGCCGCCGCCGCTGTGTTTGTAAACACAGGCGCACCATGTCCCGTTCAGTGTGCCGGGGGGGATCCATTCACCCCGCACCATGCCGAGGGATCTGTCCGGCCCGGAAATCCGGCTTTTTCCGCGGGAGCTTTCCGGCCACCCGGGCTAATCAGGGCTGGCGTTCCGGGACTTTCTCTCTAGGATGTGACCTGCTTTTCTGGCCTGGTACCAGGGGATACTCCTGCGAGGGCTTGTCACCGTCACACGCCGATGCCGCCCCCCGCTGGCCTCAGCCGCTCTGACATGTGACTGCAGTCAAAAAACGCATCTTTATATGTATATAGCACTGATTAATCCCATTAATGTGATTAGAGAGGGAATCACACACAGTCTGTGAGCTGCCCTGCATTTCTATACCAGGCTGACAGCAGATCCTGACACACACACACACACATATGCGCACACACCTCCCCTATTCTCCTCCTCTTTCTCCCTCTCCGCAGCTCCGCGCCAGTTACTGGGCTCCCTCTTCAGCACCGGGATCTGTCCACCGCCGGCAATTACTGCTAGTCCTGCGCCTCTCCTCGCTGGAGCACGGGCAGGGAGGGGACGACTTGCTCTACTAAGGCTAATGAAGCCCACATCCAGTCAAATAGCACAGGGAGAGCTTCTATGTGATAATTAAACATATGCTCACATGAATAATTGCTTCCTGTCTATGAATAAAACGGCTTGGTGTGGGCGCCGTGTTCCGTAGCCCGTGTGTGGCACGCTCGCCACTCTCTCGCTCACCGCGTCCGGGTCGTTCCTTAATCGGAGGGCTGGGTTCCCCCACTCTATTCCCCGATTCCTCCATGTGTATTTTAACGCAAATCTAATCAGGGGTTAAGAAATCAGGCAAGTAGAGCTGATCTTCTGCAAAAGGACAGCATACGACTCTGGACATTCATTTGTTTTTGTTTCTTTTTTAACCTCCTAAACCTCTTTTTTAACCTTCCTGTCATGAATTTATCTGCACGCAGAGTCGAAATGAGCAATATTGTTTCCATTCAGGGTCCCCAGATGCCCAGGAAGACTGTAACATTTATCGCATCACTTCTGCTGGCATGTCTGAAGATGAACACATCATTCTTCAGTTAGACACACTGCCGCCGCATCATTTTAATTGTATGTAGGACAGACACGGAGATTCACCATGAAGAGTTCTTCAAATCTAAAGCATGCTCTTTGGGGAATGGATGTTTTAAGTGATTCTAGTTATTGAAGTATTTAATTAAAAATTAATTTGCCTCTTTTGTGTACAGAGCCAGTTTTGTTTTGTTCGCACCGAACTGAAGCTTCCGGAAATCAGTGTATGCGTCTGCGCAGCCTTGTGCCTCGGTTCGCTAGGTTCGCGCACGGTCTCGCCCTCTGTACCCCGGGACGTGCACATGAGGCCTATTGCCACAAGTTAATTAGCAGCCTTGTTCTTTAAGAAATTAATTTCTCACTAATTTCCAATTTGATTGTGGAGCAAAGAGATGGCTTTTGAAATTTGCATGTTAGCACTGGAAATACTGGACTTTGAAGTTAGAGACATATAGAAAGAGTGTGTGTGTGTGTGTGTGTGTCTGTGTCTGAGTGTGGTTGTGTGTCTGTGTGTGTGTGTGTGTGTGTGTGCGCGCACACGCATGCATGTCCTGGGTGTTCTCCAAAATGGAGATAACCATTGCCATGTAATAAATGGGCACATTATTCCTCTTTTCTTTGCTGGGTGAAATCTCACCTCATTACGGCCCTGGCAAACGCTTTCCGTGCATTGATGCAGGCCTCCTAAGTCAGTTATCTCGCCACTTCACAGCTCCTGCAGCCTCGCCAGGATTCACAGCCGCCGCGAAAAGATGCGCTAATTGACACAGCCTGGGGGCACAGGTTCGGGAATATTCCTCTTTGTGTGCTAGCTGAGTGTTTTAATGGGGCTCCGCACCCTGCCTGGACGCCAGCATTGATGCGGCGCTGGCTGAGACCCCTCTGCCGTCTTTCTCTTTTTGTCGCGATGCGATTCGGCAGAGGAGGCTGCTTTTTGTGATTCCCGGATACTAGATTGAATACAGCTCTGCACACGCCACGCATCCGCCGCTCTGGAGACCTGAGGGCCCGCGGGAAACGCAGATGCTGGGAGCAGACTGTCTGCAGCCTGGAATAAATGTAGAGAAGGTGTAGAGAGAGAGCGAGAGAGAGAAAGAGAGAGAGGGAGGCGAGTGAGTGAGAGAGCGAGCAAGGGAGGGAGAGAGAGAGAGACAGCGACGGAGAGAGGAGCAAATTCAGCCCAGGACGGCGAAGAGGAAATGCATTCCCAGCCCGCCTCAGCTTCCCTCACCACTGGCACCGAGCACTGAGGCTTTCCACGGAGCTTTCTCCTTTTTTATTTTTTTATTCGTTTGTTGGTTTGTTTGCTCTCCCTCTCCGTAGTCCGCCGTCCGCCAGCGTCCCCGGATGGCCGACTGAGGACACGCGCAGGGCGGCAGGGTAAGTCAGACGCTCGCCTCCCGCTCGGCCCTGGTGCCTGGGTCTGACTGGCAGTGGTGGGG